AAAAAAGTTACAGCATTTCATTACTTATGTCGCCAGATTTGAGACTTGATTTGTAAAGCTAAACACAAATCTTGTGTGCTAGAAGAATCTTCATATAAGTTCAGAATCCTACATTTATGTGGCAACTGTATTAATTGTTTCTTTTTACCACCTTGTTACCAACCAATATATTTAAATGTATGGAGTCAAATTGTCTAATTTTTATGTCAAAATTGTGGCTGAATGGTTAGTATCGAAACAGATATCATAAGATATTATTCACACTGCATGTAAGCAATGATTGGACTTTCTCCACGAAAAATAGTCATAACTTTCCCGGAATTTAGGCTCATGAGAAATTTGTGGAAAATAGAAACAGGGTAAAGGTTATAACACATAATATTGAAATAACATGATTGGTTAAAGAATGGTAATTGTGACTAACTAATTGTTACTACTCTCAAAATATGTAGGCACATAATAAATTTATTTAAGGCTATTGGATAAAATCAAGAGAACTGTCGATAAATTGAAAAAAGTATTCAATTGCTGGTGTTCAACAACCATTTCAATTACCAAAAAATATAAATTTCAGATCTTTAACTAATGAAAGCGCTCGAAAGGCCAGGTTTAGCCAAACTTAATTATAGTACAGAAACACTGCGTGAGTACAATGAGTACTGAGATTAAGGTAAGCATCTGAGCTGCCAATCAAAAAATAATGTTAACTTGTTGATTAAATGTCAAACTGTCCATATTTTACCAGACGATTCAAGGTTTCAATTGATTTGCAAAATTTTGTTTTAATCGTTTCATTCATGAATCATTCAATTATTAACATCGAGTTGCCATCTGGGATTTATCTTTATTAGTTGATTCTAACTTAATTTCATTATGATATAGTTGAGTTTCTTGTCACATAATTTTCCAACTTTAGCCACAATGTTGATTAAATGTCAAATCGTCCAACTTATTGACGCAAAAAGGCATTGTTTTTCTGTAATAAAATTCAGATTTAGATGAAAATGCTCTCAATGAGGCTAAAATTAGTCTGGAATATTATATCATCGTCACTTTGATTAAAAAGGTTAACCCCAATAAATGTCAGTATTGAGCATCAAAATAAGATGGAAAATAAAAGAAACTGAAGAAACTGTCGAAACGATCATTTGCACCTTTAATTTAATTTAGTATAAAAGGCGATGTAATTGATCAGATTAAATCATATCCAAGATTAATCTGTTGATAAACACTTGATTGTATTAATTTTGCAAAAAAACTCATTGAAAATGAGATTCTTTATGTTGACCACTCTTTTGCTCGTTGCCGCAATCAATGTAACCATTGCATGTGGTAAGTACTAGAAGATGATTATTCACATACACAATATTAACTCATATCTCTTCCCAGAATGTGGTATGGAAGGTTCCTCCGGTCGAATCTACAAAGGAACAAAGGTTCGAGCCAATAAATATCCTTGGTTAGCTCATATTAGGTGAGTAATTTTGACTCAAAGCCAGTTCAGCTTTCTTCAATGACTTAATATTCAATATTTCAGGAGCTTCGCTGATCGAGACGATAACTCCTTTGGTCAATGTGGAGGTTCATTGATTGATGAAACCCACGTCGCTACCGCTGCTCACTGTGTTGTCACTAAGGATGGACAACGTTACAAACCAGAAAACATCGATGTCTTCCTTGGACGAGTTAAAGCTTTCAGTGACTTCTCCTACCCACATAAAGTTTCAAAAGTTTGGTTTGATCCTAAGTACGATCAATCG